CCACACAAGGTTAGGCAAGCCACTTACCTCGAACCGGCTCAAAATCAACTCGAAACCACGTTCATGCCACGAGTACTCGACTCCAAATGGCCCAAATCTCCTCGAAGTTCCCTTGAATTCCCTCTCAAAAACCTCCCCAAAAGCTCACTTCCCGGATGAAAATAGTGAAAGAATAGCTCAAATTCGCGAAGGCAACTATTTATATGTTCTGCCCAGCAATCCCGCATCTGTGGTCCACCCATCGCATCTGCGATACCGGTTATGCGGTTGGGGAACCGCTTATGCGGTTCTCACTTAAAGTTCCATCTCCGCACCTGCGAACCAGATGCCGCATCTGCGGTCTCGCAGGTGCGGTAATCTTATCGCTTCTGCGGTCCCTGCTCAAATTCCTCTTAGCCGCTTATGCGGCTCAACTCCGCATCTGCGGTAGTCGCATCTGCGGTAGTCGCATCTTCGGCCTACCAACCGCAGATGCGGTTATGACAGCAGCCCAAAGACTTCAGCTGCAATTTCCAACTTTCCAACTTCCCGTTAACCACCCGAAATCATCCCGAGGCCCCCAGGACCTCAACCAAAAGCACAAACAAGTCCAATACACCTGTTCAAACTTATACCAATCCTTAAAATACCTAAAACAACATCGAAACGACGAATCAACCACGAATTCAAGCCTAAGAACTCCAAAACTCTAAAAATACTCTTTCGATCAAAAAGTTCATCAAACCTCGTCCGAATGACCTGAAATTTTGCACACACATCACATTCAACACTAGTTACTCCAACTTTTGGAATTCCATTCCGACCCTCGGATCAAAATTTCACTATCAAACCGCAAACTTCAAAATTCGACCTTTCGGCATTTCAAGCCTAAATTAGCTACAGACCTCCAAAATACAATCTGAACACGCCCCTAAGCCCGAAATCACCCAACGGAGCTAACGGAACCATCAAAATTCCATTCCGAGGCCGTTTTCACACTGTTCCGACTACGGTCAAATTTCCAACACTTAGCTTTCATTTAGGGACTAAGTGCCCAAAACTCTCCGAAACTCAAAACCGAACATCACGGCAAATCAAAATAGCAGAAATAAATACGGGGAAAGCAGTTAATAGGGGATCGGGGCGTTAATTCTTAAGCCGACCGGCTGGGTCGTCACACCAACACAAATGTTTACCAAACCAATCAATTTAATCTTAGCATTTAAAAATAAAGTGAAAATACATATCATTAACCATGATTAAGTGATAAATAATGCATATGTGAAAGGCAATTGTCTTGAATTCAATGATTTTGTTGCGTATATGAAATACATTTGTCTTGAATTCAGTAATTTTGTATATGCCGTGTATAGGTAAATTCTTATATTTTTCCGCATTAAGCGAACACAACCAGTTATCTCCTTTTGTATTTATATGAGTTTCAAAAATTAGAATGCCAGGAGCTAGAGATCTATTTTTTTCTAGATAACGTTGTTTATATATTTGTGTATACACGCAGTATTTTGTTTTTTCAGTTTTAGATTAACCATATATTTTTAACATAAATTGAAAAGTTTTTAGGAAATATAATTTTGCATGCTTTTTCTAGTTCTAAGCTAAAAATAGAAGGAATTTTCTTTTCAATTGTGAAAACCACTCTAATAAAACTATGGTGAAATATGATTGACTTGCCCAAAATGATGACGTATGATATAATGATGATTATATATGGTATAAATTAAAACATAATATCAGCGTAGTAGATATTGTGGTGATATAATATCATAATAGCATGCCTTCTTCTCATAAGGAATTAAAGTAAAGTAAACGATAATGTCAACTAGTAGATGACAAGAACACACATTGACCAAGTGCATAGTTATACGATACTCTCTCCGATCCACAATAAGAGATTAATTTGCGTTTGTCATATTTATTAAAAAAATATTAAATTCTAGACAAAAATAGTTAGTGTGACTAAACTACCCTTAATTAAATGTTGCAGCATAATTTAATGTGAGGAGTAAAAGACTTTTTAGGGATATGTACATAAGAGTAATTTTGGAAAAATAAATTAAATATTTTTCTTAATTATATAAAGGGACACTTATTTTGGACCAAAATAAAAGGACAAATTGTTAACCTATTATGGACCTAAGGGAGTATTAATCTAGCAAACCCTTAGACTTATTAGGAAATCCAGGTATTAACTGATTGGCATGCTCTCTCTATTTTCGTTTTTCAAGATTGGCATTCCCAACTTAATTTACATGAGTTTTCAGAAGCATGACTCCTCGTGAAATAACTATTCTAGTTCTATTAGTTACTATATGTCTTCTTGTACCTTCAATCTTCTGCTTAATCTGTTTAGCATGTCGCATGCATCTTGAAGCCATTCGCCGGCGCCGTCCCCGGGTTTTCGCGTCAACATCTCCATCGCCTCAGGTTTCCTCCGTGACAATTTCTCTACATACTTCGGGCCTCGATGACTGCACTATTCAGTCGTACCCAAAGGTAAGCAGAATTAGGGCACACTACTAAATAAATATGAATTAGCGACAGATAAGTTTTGTAGCTTAACAGAAAAATTCGTCTCTAATTTCAATTAGAGATAGATTATTAAGAAATTCTATTAGCTACGAGTGATTTAGCGGCGAAGTTCGTAGCTAATTTTAGTTTTTCTTTTTTTGTAATGACAGGTTCTGTAAGTTCAATTGAACGGATTATTTTTAGTTCGAATTATATATACATAAGAAAAAAAAAGCTAAAATATATACATACAACAAGGTCATATTCATTTTTAACTCTATGAATTTTGATTTTGAATTTCCCTTTTGTAGGTAGTCCTTGGTGAAAGTAGACGGCTTCCAGGGATTAACGCGCTGACTTGCCCAATATGTCTAGTTGAGTACAGTGCTGGAGAGTCAGTGAGGCTTATACCTTTGTGTCAACATAGCTTCCATGCCGACTGTGTTGATGAGTGGTTAAAGATAAAGGCCACTTGCCCCGTTTGCCGAAATTCTCCACTTCTTTTAGAAAACGATAAGCTTGACCAAATTAGCGCCGAGGGTGCAATGTGTTAAAGCTGATTTTCTTTCCATATTTGAATTTTACTTTTTCTTGAAGGAAGGAAAATAATTTATCCTAATCGATTTTATTTTTACTAAAAAAAAATATTAATCTCTTTCATATTTAACAAATCTTTTTTTTGGAGAAGAAGTTTTGCACTTCTGTAAATTAAGCATCTCTACTTCACAAAAAAAAAAACTATCAATAGCATCTAATGTAGTAGTCAATAAAAGAGTCATGTTTAGGAGTAAATTTTTCTTTTAATAGTTTTTTATGCTTTATTTTATATTAGTTTTTCATATGTAGGTCAATTGATCAAATCATATTGAAGTATTATAGTTATTTTATTATATTTCTTTTTGTCATAGTATTATTTATTGTCGTTAAAGTTTGTTTTGAGAGTTTTTCCATAATGCCTTATTATTTAGATTGATTGAAATTCCAACATTTTACCATAGATCTCGAGTTCAAGCCTAAAAATGAAAATGACAAGAAGCACTTCTCCTTAGGGCGACACTTCTCCTTAAGTGTGTCAGTTGGTTCCAAATATTTGATGGTTAAACCAAATTAAAAGAAGTCCAGTAATTGTTGTTGGCCTTTAGTCAACCGCGTCGAGTCGACGCATTCGAGTTTACCAATAAAGATCGTTAGTTTAAGAAGTTGACAAAGCATTTTGGTTATCGTAATATGTAAAATTACCTCTTAGTCGTATTCACATCATTGCAAGCCCTGATTTCAAGAGCTGTTGATTGCAAAATATTGTTTGACTTTAATTTGTTTTGGAATTAAGATTAAAAGAACATTATTCACTTAATCATGGACAGGACCTCCGTTAACTCAAATGATTTACAGTTCTTTAATTTCTTCCCCTTGTCATTGAGTAGTTTTAATTGATACCAATAATTTTATCCTCTTGAAATTCACTCGACTTCCACGATTTTGTTTCTGTTTTTTTTTTTTTTTTTTTTTTTTTTTTTTTTTTTTTTTTTTTTGGTCTCCCTTTTTCTATTACTAAGGAGCAATATATCTTCTCCAGAAAAGTAAAGAGCTTGACTTGCGGTGAAACCAAAAATTTCTCGCTAAGAATGTTCAAATAAATTTTCTTTTTTGATTATTGGGTGCATCAGTAAAAATTATTTTTTTGATTAATGGGTGCATGGAAAATAAAAATTATTCCCGCTAATTGAAATTTATTTGCAAATATCCTATCATGTCTATGGTAAAACTAACCTATTTTACGATAAAATAAAGGTATACAGAACAAAGGAAATTTCTTTACGATGGTGAAAACCTCAAAGGGTCTAATAGAACTATGGTGAAATATAATCGACTTGGCCCATTAATCGACAGGGCGTCTTATTTGGTCGCCCCATTTAACCTATACCCATTTTTTTTAAGACTTTTAACTTGTACCCACTTTTTAAACAACTTCAGTCCCCTTTCTCCTCCTCCTTCTCCTCCTCAAAGTTATATCCGCCTCTTCTTTCTCAAACTTCTCCTTCTCCCTTTTCTGCAAGAAATCTGTTACCCCTATAGTGAGAATGGATAAGTCAACGAAAGCAACGAAAAGGAGAGTTGATATCTCCTACCACCACAATTACTGACAACCAATGCTTAGTAAGACGAGAAAAAGTTCACTTAATGTCACCTTTACTACATTATTCAAAATAGGCAACAACGTAGTATATAGCTACAACATCATTGAGCTGGTGATTCAGCAATGTGGTTATCCTTAGCTTGACAGTTGCTTATTACGTAATATGGAAGATTAGTTACTTAATGACATGTCATAATTGTATAATACTAGCAGTTAACCTTCATTTTCTCATTTTTCAGCTATAGAAACTATTTGCTCAGTGGTTGGATTTGCTTCTGATAGCAAGAAATTTCCAGAAATAGCGGAAACCATAAGCCAGTTACAAAACAAAAATTTCAGCTCTAGAGCTGAAGTTCGCCAGTTACAAAACAAAAATTTCACCAGTTACAAAAACAAAAACTGTTACAAACAAAAACTTCAGCTCTAGAGCTGAAGTTTGCCAGTTACAAAAACCTCAGCTCTAGAGCTGAAGTTCGCCAGTTACAAAACAAAAACTTCAGTTCTAGAGCTGAAGTTCGCTAGTTAAAAAACAAAAACTTCAGCTCTAGAGCTGAAGTTCGCCAGTTACAAAACAAAAACTTCAGTTCTAGAGCTGAAGTTCGCTAGTTAAAAAACAAAAACTTCAGCTCTAGAGCTGAAGTTCGCCAGTTACAAAACAAAACTTCAGCTCTAGAGCTAAACTTCAGGTCCGGCTACTAGAATGCTGAAATTTTGCATGATTGCCTTTGCTACTTCAGCCACGTATGCTGAAGTTATGCGAAAAAGCGGGTACGCTTGCAATTTTTTTTGCAAAGCGGGCACAAGTTAAAACGTGACACAAAAAGCGGGTATAGATGCAAATGTCCCATTTTTATCTATAGCACGGCTTCACAAAAGGAATAATTAAAGAAAAAAGGGCTAAATATACCCCTCTACTTTAGTATATTATTTATATCTATCATCCGTTATATTATCGGGTCATGTCTGCTTTTACCGTTAGCCAAACTTTTTAAAAATACCCTCCACCTAACGGAAAGCCACCAAATTAAAAAAAAAACTGAAAAAAACCATTAATAACTTGTTAAACCCCTTTTATTTACTGCACGTCTCCTCACAGATAATTAATGCAGCGAGGTATTTCATACTCCAACAATGTGCCTTTGTTGATGAGTATGCACGCACCATAATTTTCTTTTTCTGCTTTTAGCAATTAGGCAACGAATAACTACCGCAAATCACGCCTTAAGAACCAGTGTTAGATTCCAAGCTATGGGATGTGATACTCATCATTCTTACTAACAACTGAACCTATAATGAACAATAATAATTAGCGGAGATTCAATTTAATATCAAGCTACAGTCTAAGGAATTCATCAGGAATGAAGGAAAGTACACCAACAAGTTGAAAAGTAACTACTTAACAACCTAAGTACACTAACTTCATGTATTAACCAAACACAAGTATTTTTAAAGTATATATTAGTTGTTACCAACATACAAATCAACTGTCAAGTGTGCATTATATTAGACAAAAGAATGTCATATTATAGCCACAAAAAATACAACTCAAAGTGATAACATGACATCCTAATCTATCATTCTCGGTCTCTCTTTAAATAAATAAAATGTGTTAAAACATCTCAGAAATCTAGGTTTCGTATTTTTATATGATGGTTTTAACGTGTTATGGGTTAATGAATTTTTTTTAAATGGTTATTTATTAATCTGGTGGATTTCCGTCGGATGGATGGTATTTTTAAAAAGTTTTATTAACGGTAAGGGTAAATATGTCTCAATAGTATAACGGAAAGCGGATATAAACAATATACCAAAGTAGGGGGATATATTTGATCTTTTTCCCATAATTGAAACATAATACTATCGTCTATTAACTTAGTAGATATTATGATGATAATATATAGCATGCCTTCTTCACACAAGGAAATGATAATGTCAACTAGTAGATGACAAGTACACAAATTGACCAAGTGCATATGCAGTTATATGATAATATTCTAGCAAAACCTTAGACTTATTAGGAAATCCAGATATTAATTGATTGGAATGCTCTCTTTATTAACATTGTCGTTCCACAAGCATGTCTCCTCATCAAGTAATGGTACTAGCCCTATTAGTTACAACATGCCTGGTTGTGGCATCCATCTTTTATTTAATCTGTATAGCATGTCGCTTGCATCACGAAGCTATTCGCCGGCGTGTCGCCAGGTTTTTGGCCGGGGCACCATCGGCGTCGCCTCAGGTTTCCTCCGTGATAATTTCTCTACCTACTTCTGGCCTTGATGACTGCACGATTCAGTCATACCCAAAGGTAAGCCGAAGGCAGATTCAGGACGGATTCTATGAGTTCAACTCAACAGATTATTTTTAGTTCAAACTATATATACATAAGCAAAAATAAAATTAGAAAATATATATATATATATATATATATATATAAAATCGCACTCATTGTGAACTTATCGTCTTTGGATTTTAAATTTGCCTTTGTAGGTAGTCCTTGGTGAAAGCCGACGGCTTCCGGGGCTTAACGCGGTAACTTGCCCGATATGTCTAGTTGAGTACAGTGGTGGAGAGTCAGTGAGGCTCATTCCTTTGTGTGAACATAGCTTCCATGCCGACTGTGTTGATGAGTGGTTGAAGATAAAGGCCACCTGCCCTGTTTGCCGAAATTCTCCACATCTTTAGATTGTGTTAATACTGAACTGTTACCTGATTCTTTTGGTAGCTACTCTACTCATTTTCTTGTTTTGTGTTCTAGGGTTGTTTCTTAAATTTGTTGTGTGCGGAATGAATGTTCTTATTCATTTAGCTATCATGTTTTCTATAGGTTGGTTTCGAGGGGGTTCTTTTCAGATGGGAAGGAAACTTGAATCATTTTATATTACTTTCAATAAAGCCAAGAATTTTATTGTTCTCGCTGAGATCAAAAGGGGAAATACTTTACCAGCAATTGAAAAATGTTGTACAACACAAAGATTTTAGTAGAGTGGTAATTACTCCTTCATGGTTAACCAGAGATCTCGGGTACGGAGTCGCCTTTAGAAGGGAATGTCTTACTCCTAACGTGTAACTTTCCGGCGCCATAAAAATTTAAAAATAAAAATAAAAAGAAAGAGAAGAGAATCGAACCAACGCAATCCACTTTTTCATACTTAAAGGATGTTTTATGTTCAGCAGTATTTATAAAGGATCAAAATATTCCTATTCCTATACTTCAAAGGGACTGTCCTGGTTTTTGGCTCTATTGCTGTCAGTGACATCAAAAAGGGAAATATCTAAACACCACAGCTTTAGCAACTATTAAACGTATATAAAAAATTTTCGTAATATCTGTCTCACACAATGCGTAGTACTAGACAATGTCATACAACATAATTACACCTAAGGGAAATTACCGAGTGACATCCACACCAGATAAAGACAGAACAATGTAAGCAAGGGAAGTCGGCCAAAATGGATGCGTAACTTCAGGACTCATATTGTCAACTCTTTTGAGATTGAGATGCTTGAATTGTAGAGCATGTTTAATAATTGACAAGGTCTGTCCCCCACCTTTTGCATCCCTTAGGATCTGCCATGAGATCGAAAAGCAAAAAAATATTCTCTTCTGATTAAGGTATAAAGTATCAAAGGAAAGAGCAGCAACTGTTTGTAGTACTTGCTCCAAGTACTTATCACAAAAGATAAAAGAGACATCATGCTTGAAATGAATTCTAATCATATACCACTACACTGTCGAAATCCTGAATGAACTGAAGCTAGTAGAGAGTCATCTGTAAAACAAAATTCTTGTACATTTCTCTGGAAAATGATTTCCAATGGTAACACTAGTATAACAAAGTTGAACCCCTAAATTCTAACAAGACTTGTCAACTTCAATGAGGTTACAATATGTCGATCCTACAAGCGGAACAAAATCTACACAACTTTTTTCCTACCAATCACCTTTGGCGTCATTGAAGAGGGTTGCTGCGGCTAAATCATGACTTCACATCTTACATTCAATAACTGAAAGCTAAGGACCAAGATGTGACCATTTACTAACAAAATTTGTAGAGCTAGTGCACGAGAGCCCCGTTCTAAAGTCAGGATAAGAACGACCAGCAACACGCCAGCCCTCGCCACTGTTTCTTGCATCACCACTTCTCAGTCTTCTTTCTGCTTAATATTCAAGGGGTTAAAAATCAGCATCTTTCAACGAAAATTCTTTAGAGAAAAAGAACCTCAAAATAATGTTGAGAAGTATAATGCAATGACGAAGTTTAGAAATGTTTCACCAAAAAAAGTTTACCGAAATAGGCAGGGAATACAAAGTACTCCAATTAGTCGGAGCATCATTTGTCGCCACACAAATACAATGTACTCACACGGCCTTCATTTATTTGATCTAATTCATATGTGGCTATTTGAAAAAGATAAAAACAACTATAGAGAGGAAAAAACTATACAATTTTTTTTAATAATTAAACTCAAATAATTATTTTGTAAGTGCTTCAGCTTCTATTCCGTGTTCATGCTGCAATTTTTTGTGTCTTATTGGCAAGAAGGCAGCATCCTTTTTACATTTCATTCACCATAGGCATCTTTTGCCTCAGACGACATTTCAAAGTATTTATGAATGGCTTAAAGTACATCAAAATACATGCAAAAGTCAATAATACCACTAGAACAAGCTAGAGAAACTGGGCTCTAACGGCACATGGAGAAGCAGACTTGACAAAAATATAATAAGCAAAAACCAGCTAAACACAAAGTAAAATACTATGATTCGAATGAACTTCTCCAAACCATGAGTTTGAGGTATCCTTAGAACCAACTAAAATATTACCTTTGATAATGCGGTGAAGATGGCCGATCAGGAGAAGACCGTTGCACAGAGACTGCATGAAATCTCTGTTCCTCAAATGCTCCCCTTAGTTGACTTCCATCACCTGGATGGACTTGTTTGTTTACACCTGAGAAACCTACTGGACCCACAGATCCGAACTCAACCTGTTCTCCATGTGAATTGTAAGTAGAATTATGGTCAAACGGATAAAACATTACAACAGGAGGGACACCAGGTCCATTTGAAGACACTGCACTTGGGTTCATTGACGTTAAAGGATACATGCCATGCACCATACTGGGAAGCACACTTGGGCTTGAGTTTGCATGCAATGGACCATTTTGAGACGGATATGAAGGGAAGGAATCGTGTCTATGAGAGTTCCATGATCTGTCAGTTCGGCTCTCACTGGATGCTGGTCGATCCAATCTTGAGTTTAATTTCTCAGATTGGCTGCGGTTGTAGTTGCGCCAACCGGCACGGGATTTCGAATTCGCATTCCAGTTACCCTCTCTGTCACCATAGTTATCATTTCTGTCATGGTTGTAATTCCCCCTTCTTGTACCGGAAGAGTGACGATCCCTGACCGAAGCCTTCTGAAGTAATAGTCAAATTGCAAAGATAAAATATCCACTAGAAATGACAGTACCACACATCTTAGTAGAAAGGATCTTATACGGCAAAATAGAAGAGTAATCACTGAAGAGACATGAAATCCAGTTTCATCAACTAGAGAGACCAGGCCAGGGTAATGTGTCTGAGATTCATGGACATAGAATAGGCAAACGGCTCATTGGACCCCTCGGCATAAATTGAAAAACATGGTAAAGCAAAGCGGAGTGAGTCTTCACTTACAAAAATATACTCTCTTAAAACTCGGGACAAGCATAGCCTTTTCTTTTTTTAAAAATTAAGTAAACTAGGTACAATGTTTAAATTATTGTTCGACATTGAGATGCTTTTATTGATCTAAAGTCGATCTCGAGGATCTGAAGAAGAAAAAGGCTAATATAGACAAGTGAAGACAAAGATGTGCAAGAATTCTGCATGCATTTTATATAATAATGTAGTCCTATACCCGTCTCCAACCACACATTCTAGGATCAAACATACAATGGAATAGAGCAATATCAATCAACAAACAGGAATTTTGAGCAGATTTCTTACTGGATTTGGCAAGTATGTCCCAGTCCCGCTACGATATCTCGGCATCTCAGCTACATAATGTTGAAGCATATTGGGAGGTCGATTTGAAACAGATTGTAGCGGTGAGATGGGTAATATACGAGGACCACAGCTCATCAATTGAGTAAAAAGGCTCATGCTCGCTGACATCGGTCTTCCAGGACCATCCCACGGGAAATGGCCTTTTAAGTATGCAGGCGGTACCATAACAGGAGAAGGATAAACATGAGGCCCAGGCCTGGGATCTTGGCAAAACCGTCCATACTGTAAATTTTGCCAATGACTAGCAAAGTCACTGTTAAGTATATCAGACTTATGTTTATTATTTTCATTTTCACTGTGGTCAAGTCCCTCAGAAGGATCAAGGTTCTGGCCTAAATCACGATTGGGAAAGCATTCTTCTCTTCCGAAGTGGCCGGTTGATACATCAGGAGTTCCAGACTCAGGTGGAATATTATATATTGGAAGCATTGTAAGAAAGGGAACTGGTGGCCCGGTGGGATAAAATGCAATAACCCCAGAATTATCCGTCATTCTTTGCTGAGAACCAGGCCTTATGAGCATTGGTGCAATGGGCACTATTGGGTCAGATCCACTTGTCTGAGCACCTTCATAATCAGGCATATGTTGCCTTGCAATGTGCATGGAAATAATGCCCTGGCTACTCTCAGACATTTCGGTACCCAAGTTTGAAACAGAGTTCCAATCCTGATCATCTTCCACGGCTTGGTTAGATTTATGGTCAGACATCATCTTAACTTTTCTGTAACCAGTAGTTGGCTCAGCATCACCTGTTTTATTTCCCCGTCTTCCCCTTGTTGACTTTGTACTTTTAGTAGAAGACCCATCCCAAGAACTCTCAGAAGAGGTTTTGCTGTGAGCAGCGGATGAGAACCTTGAACTTGCCAATCTTTCTTCAGCGTAAACATCGGTCATTCTTATGTTATCCTGAAACTGAATATCATCAGAATGTTCTTCCTTGATTGGCCCATGTTTTTCCTTTGTATGCTTCTGCTGAGCTCTATTACTGGAGCCAGTCGCCCAAGATGAAGGAACAAAATTAGAACCTGACTCGACTGCATGTGTTTTATCATCAGATTGAGGTATTTCATAATTTCCGTTTTGTAGGTCAAATTCAACGTTAGAACCTGCATCTGGCTCCTGCCAGAAATCTTTGATTGCCTCGCCTGAGTTCATATCCGTAGAACTAAAATTTTCACTATTCCGGTCAATTGAATCTTCAGAAGCTGGACTCAACCCAAGGCCTGGGAAGTAATGATTTAAGTGGGGCGAAATCATACCATGAGGAAATTGCACATTGGAAAATGCAGGAGGAAAATTAGTGGGAACCAATCCTGGAATATTTCGTTGATTATATCCCATAGAAGCCAGAATGGAGGGCGAGATAGGGAAAGGCAGTTGGGCTGCAGCCCAATTAAATGGCAAGTGAACCTGACCATTAAAACCATGGACCGAAGTAGATGCCATCAGATTCACAAGATCTTGCTCATCCTGATGCATCATCCCCTGTGTACTACAAAGCTCTTCATTTGGAGCATCTAATCCCGCATCTCGGCTAAAGCTATTTGATCTACTGTTGGAGTCAGCAACGGCTTCGAGACTTTGATGAGATGGAAAATGTCTGATCGATGAAGTGTCAGATCGACCATTCTGGCTTGCTAAATTTTCAGATCCTTGATTCTTCCTCCAGTTACTGCTGTCCTGCCTCAATGGAGTAGGTTGCATTTTTGCAGACTCCTGAGCTTTTCCACGCCTTCCTTGAGCAGTAGTAACTTCACCATACATGTCAGTCAGCTCAGGACTAGACCGTGTTCTAGAAAAAACAAACCTACCCTGTGTATCAATTCCTATTTGATCAGATTTCAAATTTCTCTCTTTTTTCTTTTGATCAGATACCCTTGAGGTGCTCAAATTCCCATGGTTCTTTTGGGCGGTATCATTCATTCTAGAGAAGCTTCCAGATAAATGAATACCATGTTGAGAGGAAACAATAGGTGATTGAGTTCCTTCCACCTCAAAATCACGACCAGAAGATTTTCCATTCACCTTTTTCCCACTAGAGTTGACCCTAAAATACTCGGAGTCGGGTAGGTCATCCGGTGTTGAAAATCTCAGGCGCAACAACTCGGGCCCTGGTGCATCAGGCCTTTGGCCACTACCATGTCTGTCCAGCGTATTCATAAAGAACTGATTTACTTCATGAATTAGATCTTCTTTGGGGCAGTCCAGTAATCTTGCTAGTCTTTTGGCACCAAAGCCAAATGCACTCCGTATCCTATAGAAATTACCTGCCAACAGTATGAATCATATCCCCATGAAGCAGCAAAAGATATCATGCTAAGAATCCCATTCAAAATTAGTCAACAGAAGAACTGAGCAAATACTGTTTATAACGGCTAAGAATGTAAACAGTCTCACAATAGTAAGAGCGTCTCAAGATTTTCAACATCCAAAATTAGTCAACAGAAGTTTGTCTGCGACTACCGACTAACCAATAGAATTGTAACTTTTTGTTCTTCAAAGGCACCAACATACATTTCTAGAGACCCCGTACAATGCCCGAGTTACAAACGTTTCACTTAAATACACTAAATATCAGATAGGAATAAGTCGTTTCATAAAAATGGTCAGATAGAAATAAGATTTATAAACCAAGAAAAATAAAATCAAGAGAACAACAGAAATGCAACTAAATATAAGTAAATCCTCATAAGCTAAGACCACCATATGCCTAAAAAAAACAAAATTACAGAAACCACTTTGAACAACAAGGAATAACTAACGCCAAGGAATGTCATTAAAAAACTTTCAAAGTTTGAATACCTTTACTCACACTGCGGCCAAGGTTGTTGTTTACTCGTAAAGGATCAATCACATTAAAATGTTTAGAAACGAATGGTTGTCCTTGGTTTTCCTGGCCAACAGGGAAAACAGCATATACGGAGCTACAGGCCTCAAGAAACAATTTGCTGAGAAGCAATTCTCCCTCATCTTTTCGAGGAGGTTCCGCTGCATTTTTCCAACTATACTTAAGCTAACAGATAAACTCAGATCAAAGTAAAGGAAAACAAAACGAAAAATTGGCTCTTCAACATATTTGTACCAGTGACATCAGGAAGAGAACTAATCGACACAGGCCCCCACAAGCTAACACAAAAGTTGTCCCAATCAAAGTTGCTGAAGAACTCCAAGAAGCGATATAGAACCTGCAAGTATAAATACAAAACCTTAAAGGATAGAGATGATGAATGCAACATTAAGAACATTTAAACAAAAGAAAAAATAAAAAAAAGTTACAAGTTAGTAACCTCAAGTGGCCCAGCAAACGAATTGTTGAACATGTGAAATATGTAAAGAACTAAGGTCTCCAAGGCATAAGTTGAAATAAGACCGTGATGAGCACCCAATATACGGCTCTCATAATAACACCAGGCCTTAATCAAAATAATGCTGCGCTTGAACAAGTGATTCTGGTTTATCAGGTGATCGACCTACAAAAGATGAACACGTAAAGTAAAGATCTTCTTTCCCTTTCCTCAGGACTCAATACTCATCTTGTTTCTTTGTTGGTTTAGACTTTAGTCTGTTATTTAAAAAATAGTACTTTGCATGGTATGTTAAAGTTATGAGCATATCATAAAATATCAGGTTTTTTAGGATAAAAAAAGAAACTGCACACCTCCTCAAGGAAGCAAAGGGTACACAAACCCCCTAGCTGATTGAAAGAAATGTCAACCACGATGTTTTCAACTAAGCATTTTATTAACTTTACCTGCAATAGAAAAGGGACAAGAACAACGATGAGTGAGTGCAGAGCAAAATAAAGTTACAACTGAAGAAATGTCAAGTATAACAACCAAGAATACAAGCGGCAGTTACCTTCTCTAAGCCTTATAATAAGACAACAATATAAATAAATTATTGATTACTCATGTTAAATATTAGCTACTAATTCAAATGACATTTCCGTAAATTATGTAAAAATAGTCTCTTTCCCAACACTATAATATCCTCATTAGCCAAGTTCAATCCCAGATACAAGTGTAAACTGAGGCAATAACTTAAAACTTGCAAAAACATCACAGCAACCAACATGCTATCCCCATGAGAAAAGTTTCTAAGGCTCAAGAAATAGCGTCAAGTTATCACAAGAAGATGAAGCTTACATCAGAAAAAACTGAATTACATCAAGAGTATCCTTTTATCAGCTCTAGCCAGACAGACTGACAAGCAGAACAAAGGGAAAGAGAATATGTCCTTAAACTAAGGCTTACATAAAAAATAAAAAAATATTGAAAAAAAAAAGAAGAAAAAATGACGTTTGCTTCTATTCTCAAAGTTCAGAAGAAACTGAGAAAATATGATTATCATGATAAACTTCATTTTCTTTATGATATTCCTTTGAGGCCCAAAAAAATGCAGATAAAATTCAGGCCCCAAAAAAAACAACAAAAGAAACTATTTTCACCTCATCTGTTGTTTTCAGAATTGGACAAACAACCTGAATGGAGCTCTCTAGATTTAGAAAAATACTCCAACATACTCTCACTCAGTCAGCAGGGTTATGTTGCAATTGCTGCAGAAACTAAGAGCACATTGCATTCAAAGTCTAAAGTAAATGGTGGTTGTGTAGAGGACATACTTCAGCTTGAATGTACTGAACCTCCTTGACACGAAATTCAGCATTTTCATTTTTCTCTTCCTCCTCTAACATATCCCGAACCTGATAAGCCCATGTATCTTTCAAAGTTTGGTTATTACTGAAGGCAGTTAAATCAATGTCTCCATCAGGAAGATAAGTCTTCAATGGTACTGAACCAAAAGTGAAAACCTGGAAAGAGCAAGTTGATCCCCAAAAAAAAAAAATTTAGCAGTGAAAAGCCTCATATTAGCAATCCACAACAGAGGGCTTGCATATTTATCTTTTTCTTTCAGCAATAAAAGTAAGAGGACGAAGTACTGTACGGAAACTCTAAGTAATCCTTTCTTTACCAAGAAAAGCTTACACCAGAATGAATGACATAGTCAACTGCACTATAAACACTAATGCTAGAGATTCACTTTATAACCATAACAATAATCACTTTCACTCGTCAATGAGATACAACAATGTTCGTTATGCTATACTTAGTCAGTTGATCACGATTATTCCATGCTTTTATTGATTACACCGCTATATTGTTAAGTTTTGAACGCTCCAAACCAGCAGTCCACCCAGATTTTTTACACCACATCCACTGCACCCCACACGGCAAATATTTGCGCTTTCCCACTTCAGAACTCATTGAGCTTCATCAATGAGCTATTGTTTCTATAATATACTCCACTTACTTGACTCTTCAGATCAGAAATAAAGGAAAATGAAATATCCTCAGTCGATTGGAATCTTTCTTTTTTTTCGTGACGTGGTGTCCGGGCCAACTTGCGTGCACCTTAACAATTCCACCGGTACCTGCTAGGCTGCTACCTCCCACTGGCACAGGTACCGAGCAACTCTGCGCATCAAGACTTGGGCAAATGAGAAGAAATCACCCAGTGCTTTTTGCCTCTACTAGAATTTGAAACTAAGATCGCATGATTCTCCTCCTACTTCATTGACTATTAGGTCACGCCCCACACCATTGAAATCTTATATGTGCTAGGACAAAAGAATAACACATAAGACAACTCTTATTTACTCTCTCAGCTTCAGGTAGCATAATTTGCTTCGCAAAGCAGAATAACGTGCTCTAATTATTTGAACAAAATATTAAGTCATTTCAAAAGTTAAAATAGGTTTATATTGGCCATACTTTGAACCATTGCATACTCAAGTACCAACGTCATTGAAAACATCTACGAATTCAATTTTTTACATGTTCGTAGAGGTAACTAAGTCATATCAAAACAGATCAGCCAAAGATTGCATATGGAACTTCTATACAGCTATTTTACCAGAATGTAGCAACACAACCACCATAATTTCAAAGATTGTATTCTGAGGCGCCAAACAAAAGGGTATCCAGGATTTGAACTTTACGGATTCGAGATTCTCGGACAACAACCTCGAGTGCTGGTATTTGGTTTCAAATTTTACTGTTCGTACATATTTAGCGAATTTTTTAAATATATATAAAGTATGGGCCAAAGCTACTAGATTCTGCCGAACCCGTATAGTTCATTCAACATTCGCTCCTGGTGCTAAAGTCATTGAAAATAATTGAGAATTCATTTTTACATTTTTATAGAGGTAACTAGGTCATATATCAGAATGGATCAGCCAAAGACGGCATATGAAACTTAGATAAAACTTATACCATTAGGAAAATTTCAAGACAACCTGACAAGGGAAGCACTTCATGATGAGGCGTTGGACGTAATCAGCAACAGCATTTCTGCGCTCCTCAGACGGCTGGTTAGGCTGAATGCAGCCAATTAACTCAGCAGTCCTTTCCTCAGCCCTTGACCATCTCTCCGAGTCAAGGGCTCGGATCATCTGTTCTGATTCTGCATTGGGCAATAGCCCGTTCGGACATAGCCCACTTGGCTCTGCCCATCCCTCATGTTCTCCCATACACCACTATTACTTGTTTTAACCCAATAAAATCTTGAATTGCTCTCTTTTATCACCTTTATTATGAAATCCAATATCAAAAAATCAACCTTTCAGCTAAACTAGCAACCCCACTAACCAGTTATGTCAAATACAATAGTACAATCTAAATTCCAGTAAAACCCCAACAATACAGTAACCATGAACTTTAATACCAACTGCAATACAACCATTAATCAAATTCAACAATAATTTTTTTTGCAATATGCTCCTATATAAGAAATAAAAAGCCATTCTTTACACACACACACAAAAAAAAAAAAATCAAATAGCAGAAGGAAAAAAAAAGGAAACCTAAAAGTTTAAAATAGAAAGTTGTGATAGCACTTCTTGATCAAGTGATTTAAATGACGACGTATTAGATTTTTTTTTTTAAATCTAATAAAAAAAAGAACCCAGAAATTTCTTCTCGTTTCTATGTAATATAAATGATAAAGATGGAATTTTGAATTATTATTTCAAGAAGATTATGAGGATCTTGAAAATCCAGGGAAAAAAAACAAAGAAAAATAACTAGAAATAAGAGGGGGTGTGGGAAATGGCAAGCAAAAATTGAAGTCCGTGTTTGTGTGTCTGTGTATGTGTATGTGTATGTGAGAGAGAATCAAGAATTCAAGAAAGATGGAGGAATTGGCATTGACGTTTTTTGAAGATATAAGAGGATTTGATTTTATGATATACAGTATGTTGTTGTTCTGGAAAAATAATAGGGAAGGAAGATATGTTTTTCTTTCTTGTTCTTTTTTTATTTTGTTTTTTATTTTTATTTTGTGGTTTTTTTGGATTTTTAATCAAAAACTGAAACTTATATGGCAATGAGTTATGGGGATGTGAAGATATTTGTTTATGATAATGTGATCTAGCTATTTAAATTGCAAATAACTACTACAATTATTGATATAGTTTTTAGTGTATGTATTATTTAATTAAGTATACTGTGAGGAAGATTTCCAAAGTTGCACCTTCACTCTTGGGCCACCATCATGCCCTAGACGGTGGGATCTGGCTTGGGCCTTAACCTGATTATAAAGGTAAAAATTGTACGGTTCATTTAATTTGTATCCATTTTTTAAATTTTTTTTAACTAGTATTCAAAATTTAAACAACTTCAAACTTTTTTCTCCAACTCCTCCTCCTCCTTCTCCTTCTTCGCGTGAGAGTGATTTTATGGTGTTTGTAAATATATTTTAAGGTAGTTTATGATGTTTTATAGTATTGAACTGTTGTGGCGCTTTATTTTTGCTACTACTTAGGGTTTCTTCTTCTTCTTTTTCTTAATTCCCTTGATGATATTTGGAGGTTATATTTCAAGTTTGAGCTCATTTGGAGTAAATTTAGGTGTTAAATCGTATACTAGATTGTTAAAATTTGAATAACAAATTTCTGTTTATGGGCAATTTGCATTTCATGCCTATTTAACCTTAAGTGCAAAAAAATATTGGTTGCACTTCAGACCTATTTGGCCTTAAGTGCATCTGAAGTGCAATTTTTTCACTTCAGACTTATTGGCATTAAGTACATGAAACCATTGGTTGCACTTTAGACCTATTTGGCCTTAAGTGCATCCAAAGTGTAATTTTTTCACTTCAGACTAATTTTTTTTAACTTCAGACTTGATAATTCTGAAGTTGATCGTAAAGTGGGTAGGCTTGTAAATTTTTTTGTAAAGTAGGTATAAGTTCAATTGTGACCGCACAATCGGGTATAGATGCAAAAGCCCCATTATAAAGGAAAAATGACAGTCTATAACCGCTCTCAAAATAATAGCCGGAAAATGTATATATATATATATATATATATATANAATATACAAACTTTATATATCTTTACAGCTACCAAATGTAAATAGTTTCAGCCGTGTGTTAAAAGTGATCTTTACCGACTATAAAGGGCTTAGTTTTGTTTTTGTTTTTTTTAAATTTGATAATGAGATATAAGTTTGTATAACAATAAAGTACTACTACAAAATTTGGTACAACACTCGTGAATAACATGTGTTGCTCGTTCTTTCATTGTTCACATAGGAGGAGAAAATAATTAGAGGTCAGGAAGAAAGTATTGAGTAAAAACTTATACTGACAGTATGCATTCGATCAATAAATTGTTCTATGAAGACATAAAAAATATTAGTATTATAAATGTAAAATAGTGTCACTATTTAAAAAAAAGGGAGAAGAAGGTTTAAATTTCAATCATAGAAAAGAATACCTATTTTGAATTTCCTATTTTTAGGGGCATTTACATTTATACCCGCTTTTTGTGTCACGTTTTAACTTGTGCCCGCTTTGCAAAAAAAATTGCAAGTGTACCCGTTTTTTCGCATAACTTCAGCATACGGGGCTGAAGTAGCAAAGACAATCACGCAAAACTTCAGCATTCTAGTAGTCGGGCTTGAAGTTCAGCTCTAGAGCTGAAGTTTTTGTTTTGTAACTAGCGAATTTCAGCTCTAGTTTTTGTTTTGTAACTCACGAAGTTTTTGTTTTGTAACTAGGGAACTTCAGCTCTAGAACTGAAGTTTTTGTTCTATATTTGATTAACTTCAGCATGTTATAAAGGCACCGTGGCTGTGATGCCACGACCCTTGATAGCTGTGAGCAACAAGATGACGATGGCGCTGTTGTGTTTCCAGTAACATAATTACTAGCATGACTCTGCTGTGAATTTATACTGAAACTTGAGATTTAGAGACTACATTGATAGTGTGGGTGTCCAACTTTACCAAATTGAAATATAAATCTCCATAGTCGAGAACCAATTGATTCTAGACTATTGATAATTAAAGAAAGAAAGGAAAAGTTTGATTCATTGTTCAAATGATATAGCGAGAGATGCCAGTTATTATTATAAAATAACTTTTATTATCTCTTGATTTGGGATTTTTAATGTTATAATAATCCAAGTGGAAGTCCTCAGTATATTTGCTTTAGCTTCATTAATCAAAGAGAGCAATGTTGAAGTCATCGTTGTAGAAGAAGAAAACGAAGGAGGAGAAGGAGGAGGAGAAAGGGGGCTGAAGTTGTTTAAAAAGTGGGTACAAGTTAAAAGTTTTTAAAAAAAATTGATATAGATTAAATGGGGGCGACCAAATAAGGCGCCCCGTGCAATTTTTACCTATTTTTAAGTGATTATGACAAACGAGAGCTTTAATTTAATTTACCATCCAATTTTTTCTTGATTTATGTTATTGATTTTTGATATTTTTTTTTTGAGTCGAGGGTCTATCGAAAACAATCTCTTTACTCTTTCGGAGTAGAAGTAAGGTCTGCGTACACACTATCTTCCTCATGCCTCACTTGTGGAATTTTACTAGATTATTATTGTTGTTTCTCTTGATATTATTTTTGATAATACTTGTAAGAATTTCAACCTTTCTTTTAATGGCACATAGCCAAACTTCTACTTTATTTTAGTAGTTTCTAATACAATCTTTGAGAATGTGTCTTAATTTTCTTTCTCATGGTGGTATATTTGAATATCTTTGAGAAATCTACGTCACCTGATTATTAGGAAAAAATAAGTACCAACTCTATATAAAAATCACCTAGTTTGAATCCTAGAGAAATTTTAAGTTGTGTTTGGTATGAACAATTTTTTCATGTTTGGTTGACTTAAACGTTTTGGAAAATATTTTCCTCGTGGACTCATTTTTCTTAATTGGAGGAAAATATTTTACTTAACAAAAGAATAAGGGTGCTTATCGGGCAGATCGGGCGGTATTTATGCTTAACGGTTCAGCTTATCGGTTATCGGTTTATAAATATAGTAATCCGCTAACCATCCAATAAGACATAGGGTGGATCGGTATCGGGTTAACGATTACCAGGCGATTTATCGGCTAAACTGAATCGACAATAAAAGAAAAGTAGAAAACTAGAGAATTTGTCATTTTGTCTGACTTCAGACTTCAAATGAAGTTAATCAGCTGAGCAAATATGTTTGAAAGAATTAAGGAGATTTGTTGTGGAAATCATAAATAGCTATCAATGGGATCTTGTTCAGATTCATAGTCATCAAAAGCAAAATCACAACCTTAAAATTTGACAAACAGAAAATTCGTAATTGTTTTTCAAGGTTATAAATAATTGATTTGCATATAAACAATGAAACGTTAATGCATGCGTAGCCTTTTTCTTGGTCAAAACTCGTATGGTAGAGATGACTGACGAGATTGGGATTTGAGAGAAATTTTAATTAGAGATTTGGACTTTAGGTGACAGAAAAGAGAAAAGAGAAAAAAGAAAAGAGAAAAGAGAGAAGAGAGAGATGACTGTAGGGGTGCTTATCGGCTGCAATTGAAATTTGATAAATTAGGTATTTAGATTTTAGGCCTTAGGGTTTCAAATATTACTTTATATACATAGGGATAAAAGTATAAATATAAAAATTCTGAATGGGTTAATGGTTTATCCGATAAGGAAATTGAGTAATCCGCCCCCAAATCGTTAAGCCGTTAGTTATAAAATTTCAATCTGTTCATCAAACCGTTACTCCGACAACCCGATACATACCAATAAGCCAATAAGTCGTTTTTTCGATTCGGTTAACGATTATGGTTCGGTTTTGAAGCCCTACAAAAGAAGGGAAAATATTTCCAAAACTCTTTTTCAACCTTCATCATCATATTCCTCATCCCCACCAACCCTCATCACCCNTTTTTTTCATCTCAACAAAATAAGTATATTCTTTTCGTAATGAAGAAAAAGTATTTTCTTTCATTTTAATAAAATAAGTAATTTTTTTTCATGTTGTAGAAAGAGTACTTATGTTTTGTTTCAACAAGAAAAAGAATATTTTCTTTTTAGTTAAGAAGCTCAAGTTTTAACGTTGTTCTTGTATGAAAAAGTAAAGCAGCATAGTAGTTTTTTTGGGTTTGTGTGAATTTTTAAAAGAATAATTAAGTTCTTGAAGAAAATAGAGTCATGAAAACATTGAGTATTTGGGGGAGGAGCATAGGAAACATGACGATTTGGGGGAAGGGGAAATTGAGGAGAGTAACATAGAAAATTATTTTCTTAAAGAAATATTTTTTACTTTCTAACCAAACACTAAAAAATATTTTTCGGAAAAAAAAAATTCATTCACCAAACAAACATGAAAAAATAAATGATAAAGCGACTCATTTTCAAGAAAAAATTATTACAAATACACCCTTAATTTCAAATGATAGTCCCATCCCCTAATTCTCCATTTTTCTCCTCTCCATCTACTCTAGTACCAACCCCCCCCCCCCC